CCCCCCCCCCCCCCCCCCGCCAGCTCGGGTAAAGGCAGGTTTAGAGGACGGGGGCGGGGGGCACACCTTACCCACACTCGGCTCAGCTCCTTTTCCACCTGCTCCAGCTTCTTCTGCTTGCTGGCGGCGGAGTACAGCGCGGTGGCGTAGCGCCCTTCCAGCCCGTACACCTGGATGGGGGGCTGGGGGCGAGAAAGACAAGAGAGAGAGGGCGCTGAGAGCGGCTCCGAGATGGGGAACCGGCGCCCCCCCCTCCCCACCCGTCACAGTGACCTCCCCTCACCTTAACCAGCTTGGAGACCGGCCTCGCCGCCGTCGTGCTGAGCTGCCGCGCCAGCTTCACCTTCAGGGACAGCCGCCCCGCCGCCGCCGCCATCTTGCCCGACCGCCGCTCGAGGTCACAGCCGGGCCCACTCCCCGCCGATCCGGCAGTGCGCAGGCGCGGCCACCGCCCCCCCCGCCCTGCCGTCCCTTTCCTGCCGCGGGGCACGCTGGGAAGTGTAGTTCTTAGCGGCAGGCGCTGTCCTACCGCGTTGGCTGCTGGGGGCTGTAGTGCCTGAGGGCGGGCAGGGAACACCGAGTCCCGCCTCCCCTCTCCCGCACTGCCCGCTCTCCCTCAGTCGCCTAGGCAGGCCCTGCTGGTGGTTGGGGACGAAGCAGATAGAGCAGGGTAAGCGCTGAGGCTGAGTCTGGTCTGCACTCAGCCTTCAGGTGAAGACAAGGGGCTCCTGTGGCATCCCAGAGCTCTGGGTGACATGTCCCCCTCATCACCCCTGCCCACAGCCTGGTGCTGAAGGTGGCTTTTCCTCAGGCAGAGTCTGGCGGTGGAGGGCTCTGGAGAGGAGCATAGTGCCCAGGGCAATGGCTTCCCTTGGATGCCTCACCCCGGCCTCCGGCTGTCCTGCCTGCCTAGGGTTACCCCCAGCCCCAGCGTTGGTGCCTTTGCAGGTGGAGGGGCCGTGGGGGCTGCTTGGGAGTCTTGCAATTGCTCTAACAGGTGGTTTTTCACCTGCCTGTAAGGGTCCTGTAACTCAACAAACCCATGGGCATCCCCCATGGGTTCTTCCCATGAATTCTTCCTTCAACAGAGAACATGGCACCCGTGCCTTTCCTCGCAGGCGTTCCTGCCGCCCTCCAAAGCTGCCTCTGAAACGCAACGAGCTATTTCCTCCCCTCCAATAAACTAGATCCAGGCGTCTCCTGGGGCAAAGACACAACCTTCCAGGTAAAGCCTAGAGCAGGCAGCTCTGACTGTGTCAGTCTCTCTGCGTGACCTTGAGCAACTCGCTCAGGTCGCGCTTACTCCTGAACTATCTCGAATGGTTAAACTCTTTCCCTAATTCTCCCATCTTTTCCCTAAGAGAAGGTAAAACGCCTGTCTGCTTCGCACAGCTGTGGCCAAGTTTAACTAATTATTTTCTGTGGTGTGAGTAGCTCACATGGGCGCTGTTATTGAAACACAAAGCGCGGTGTTAATGAAACTGACATCTGCAGGGCAGCCTTTAAACACTAGATGTTGCTGTTGCCACAAATTGAAAGTGAAGAGAGCGCTTCGGCTACCTCAGAACCAGAATAACCCTCTTTAGAAAATACGGTTTACTGTCCCACCAGAAATAAGACAGTATCACCAACAAGCTTTATTCTGGATGTTGGAATTTAGCTCCCTCTTCTATGCCTGGCTGCATTTGCTGTGGTGTCATTCAAAGGCACAGGTATAGTCCATGACAGGTTTAAGCCTGACATAACACCGTGCTTCTTGATAATTTTAATAACTACACTACTAAGAAAATAATCTCTAAAATGTAGAAAAATCTTTGTTTTTCTTTAACAAAAAGAATTTTTTTTTTTTTTGGTGACAATATGTTTGGAATGGTGCAGACAACGGAATTATTTGAAGTGAGTTTCCATATCCCAAATTTTGTTAGTGTAATTCTGAAACACTCTGTGATCACTTTAATACACAGAAAATTTGGCTTATTGAGGCCAGTCAAGTCAACTGAGAGCTGAGTGTATTTAATGAACCAGGGATTGAGTCAAATCCTGATAGTGGTTTCAAGAATTAAAATTGAAGCACCTCTCACAGGTTAATTTTAGACAAGAAAATCCCACAGGTGATAAACAGTTTGTACCTTTATGCCTTATACTGGAAGGAAAACTTAAACCCTGTTGTTGTATTTTGATAGCTGTTATAGTAATGGATTCCTCCACCATCGTTACATGGGAATTTTTAGGAGGTTTTTTTCCTCCTACAAAGCAATTAAACTCCCCATACTGCCAGTCACTCATCATTGGACTTTTACCACTGTCCCTGTTTCCAATTTGGTCACTTAGTGAGTGCTTAGACACTTAAAAGCTCTTTCATGAGAAACACCTGGAAGAACATTCACTTGTGGGTCTGCCACTTTAGTGCTTTCAGGATTGTAACCTTTAAGTACTCACTCTTAGTAAATGCGGTAATATTATAAACATCACATTTTTCTCCTGTTGAGACAGACTAGAACTGAAATAATGCAAAATATATTTTCTTTTCCTTGTATTGGAGAAATCTTGAAAATATTTGGTCTTAGTTTAGATACATTTAGACACACCATCGCGTTTATATTGAAGACAGGTGGACTTCACACAGGCCTAACACCACAGAGTTCACTGTAATCAACACTTTCACATCTCTAGAAAGAATGGGATGATTCTTCAACTGTGGTAGTGGTGGGGATGCATTTCAATCAAGGCCCAGCTGTGTGAGGTGTCATAAAATTTATAGCAAGACTTAGACCAGGTAGAACTTGCAGCATGTAGAGGTGAAAAGGAGATGAAGTTTGTAGTGAGGTATCTGGGGTCCTCATAACGATGAGAGCATATCTGGTCGGTGCCACAAAACATGCCAAATTGACTATGGCCAGCTCCTTTAAAAAAACCCCAACCAACCCCCTCCTCCCCCACCTTATAAAAACCTCTAGTACTTATATGACCCCAAATTTTTAAACAATACTGAAACCACTGAATACTTTTCTCCCTCACCTTGCAACTCACCTGAAACATGAGCTTTTGGCCTGTTTTGAATGCTGTTCTGCACCTGCTAGTCAGTAATTGCACCCGGCTGTTTCTCTGGCTGAGCCTGGGAATCCCAGGCTCAGCCTGGGAGAGTCCCAGAGGAGCCAGGGTGTAGCTGCAAACAAGTTCCTGACCTCTGTAAAAAGTTTATGTTATTTACAAGAAGTGGAGGAGTTTTCCTCTCATGGTGCTCGAGCTAAGCTCAGAGACTGTGGCAGGGAAGATCTATGACCTGACTCACCTCCCCATTGCTACAGTGTTTTTGTTCCTGCAGCTGCTGAAGGAAGGTTTTTGTTTGTTGGGTTTTGGTTTTTGTTTTGGTTTTTTTTCCCCTCTCTCCCAGGGGCTGCCCTTTATCTTCCACAGGAACAGTTGGTACTCTGGCTGAATCTAATTCACCTGGTTGTTTTCCATACCTCTGCACCACGAGCAGTTCCGCTTGGGCAGGTAAGTTCAAGTGCTCTGTCACGTTGACTCTGCAGGGACTAAGCCTTTACAGGCAGAGAGACCCGCTCACTAAAACCTTGCTACCTAGGGAAGACCTGACTCATTTTCCCATTAAGAAAAGGGTTTTTCGCTCACTGGTAAGGGACAGAAAGCATTTCTTTTTTTTTTTTTCTGCAAACTGGAAAGAATGATTGTAAAACCACAGAAATGGTTAGGGGCATTCCAAACAGGAGCAGGAGCACTAATAATCGAGTTAGGTGACTGAACTCACTGACCTTAGCATCAGAGCTCTCTACTGAAAGCTCTTCATAGGGATATTTGCAAAACCAAACATCTATGCCTACATTTTCCTGCCCTCTCAGGGAGGTTTCAATCTAGCGTTGTTGTATGATAAAGTGATTAATCGTTATGATTTCAGTGTGCATGGGATACTTCTAGGGTGCTCGTGGTGTTCTAGTTTCTTTTCCATGTTACAATAGTAATCTGTTGTAAATAGGTGCTTGTAGCTTCCTTGGCAAAATATCTACACTTTTAAAGTGTAGACTTAAAAAAACCACACTCCTTTAAGGTACCCTAGAAAGCCTGAAAAATTGGTTTAAGGGTGAGCTATGGTAAGATTTTGATTGGTTGGTGAAATAAGAACTACTCTGCAAAGCTTTATACTAGAAAAGGTGATGTGGGATCATTTGGACATTTTACTGTTTTAGAATTTGTTCATGAAATATCAATGGTAAAAAGAACTGGGTTTGGAAAATATGTGAATAACAGACATGCTTTGGTGTAGGTAGTACTAATAGCTGAGCTTTACCATTTCACACATTGGCAGAGGAGTGGTTAGAACATTGCACTGAGACTCGGGAGATTTGGGATCTATTTTCAGCTCTGCATTGGGCCCGCTGATTGGCTTCTAATTATTCTGCGCCTCAGTTCCCCATCTGTAAAAAAGCAAGAATGAGACCAACATCCTTTATCAACAGCTTTAAATTCTGTTGATGAAGCACACTTTATTAATAGCAATGATACCTTCTCACACATGCTGCCGTTAAAAAAAAAAAAAAGGTAAATTCACAAATATCAGTCAAATTATGCCAATGTGCAAGTGGCTATGGAGAAAATAGAGGAGGACCATCCTGACTGCTCCCTCACTGCTGTGGAAAATGAGATTTAATGTAGACTTACCTCTGGCATCAGAATGGCAACATATACAGTGAATTTGAGGTGTTGGTCCATATTCTTGAGGTTTTGACACAGAAATGCCTATTGAAGTGGGAGAATCAAGAGGGATCATTGACTGAACCGATCTAGAACACGAACGACCCTCTCAGCCAGGACTGAAAGTGCACCTTCAAGTGGAAGACCTCTCTTTCTTCAGTCTAAACTTGGGTCAGACAGTGGCCTGAGTCATAGCGGGATAGATCTCTGAAATACTCAGATCAGAAGTATTTCTGTAGAGCTGAGACTCCAGTCTGCCATCCACTCACCACATGTAGACCTTCGTATCTGCCTTGAACTGAAATCAGCACTCTTGGGCATAGATGCAAGGATCTTGCCCAATGAGCGTATCGCAGCATTTTGTGTTTAGACAGATGCCTCAGCAGATTCTGGTTACATATTAGGGCTACAGCTTACTCATTACCACAAGAGGGAAGCCAATACTAATAATATAACTTTATTTTTGTATTAACTATGGTTATTGTGGCAAGGTTTTTATCCATTTCAAGGCTGTTGCATGTCTCCTTCTCTTTCCTTGTAGCAAACTTGTATTTGATCATATGTCAGAAACTAAAGAACATTATTCCGCATTCCATTTGCTCAATGTCCTGTGAAATGAATTTCATGGATTTGCCTGTCTCATTTGAATGGCAAATACATAAACTTGAGACAGAAAGTGGGGACGAAACCAGGCTGGTTGCTTTCTTAGCAAATTTAA